ATATATATATATATATATATATAGATATGTGAATAATATAATATGTAATTATTTTATATTATACATCTTAATAATAAATTATAATCAAAACTTTAATTTTTTTTAATTAAAAAAGTGTCTAAACAGAAAAATGTAATATGAATATATTGGAAAACTTTAACTTCTTGAAAAACTCCTTTACCTTAATATTTTTGAGGTTATTCTTCATACTTAAAATTTGAAAATTTAAAACAGCCAATAAGGCGGTCAAAATAATTAAAAATTTTGAAAAATTATTTATATTTAACTGAAACCTTGTATTTGCGATACATTTATATTTGAAAAATTATTTATATTTAATTGAAACCTTGTATTTGCGATATATTTATATTTTTCGTCTTATTAAGTTCGTTAATTCTGGATTATATTAAAAACAAAATTTTTTATTTGTGTTAGATTCTCTTGTAAGATATTGAAATAAACATAGCTGTCAAATGTCATTTGTACACTTCATCGATTGAACCGAGACGACCAATGACATTCAGAATAATATGATAACAATGCAATCACGATTAGCGGCCAATTTAAGCATTTTAAACAGTTTACCAATTTTATAAAAAGATAAAATAAGTAAAACAGATATTTTATTATTTTTTCAATCAAATTTTTATTTTAATTTTATTTTAATTTATTTTTAAAAACATTGTACATTAATTTTCTGTCTTCCAGAAGGTCATTATTGTGATAACGTACTGCAAGAAAAGAACGTTATATATAAAAAAATATCGTACATTACACCTTTCCTAAACTAAGAATATTATTTTAACAAATAAAAGTTGCCAAAAAACAAATATGAGATCATATAAGTTGCCAAGTATTTGATTAGACTTAGAGACAAAAATATTATTTTAATAAACCGTTTAAATCATCTAAAAGTATATGCAGCAAAAGTTTAATGCCATTGTCTTTCCAAATAATTTTAAGTTTCATAAAACAAATTTAAAGTGATTAAAATGACCAATGAGATCATAATAAAGCAAAAACTTAGGCATTTGTATACACATCTTATTAATTAA